CCCCAGCAGGGGCTGGGGTAAGTGCAGACAAATGGAGCTCCGGGCAGTGCGGGGCACAGCACTCACCCCAGCCCTAGGCGCAGCCTGTGCCAGTTGTGGAGGGACCTGTCAGTGTGTGGGAGGGGAGGGTGTGCCTCTTGCTGCTCAGCATCCCCTAGGAAGGCTGCGGGCTGTGCTGGCCCCAGCCTGCAGTGGTAGCCTGCTGTCATGCCACATGCAGATCAGGGGCCTGCACTCCCTGGGAAGAGCCAGGCACAGCACGCCAGCTCACAGCCCTCCCAGGGGGTGCAGAGCAGCAAGAGGTGTGCCCCTCCCCTGTGCTGCCTGGCTCTGCTTATTTGCACTTATGCCTGCACCAGGGCATGGTGCAGCCCAGCAGCTGGGGTGAGTGGGGACAGGTGGAACATGGTGCAGCCCAGTGGCTGCAGGCAGCTGTTCGTTGGCCGTTCCTGGGGCTGCTACAGCCGGGGCTGGGGTTGAATGCCACTCTGTTCCTTCTGCTTTGCTCCCTTGTGCAGCCCTGGGAGTGGCTCCCCTTCCCTCATCCAAGCCTTCCTCCCTCACCATCATGGGAGCCTATCACATTTGTTACGTTATAAAGTCGGTTCACTTTCTGCAAATTTGATTTAAGTGCCGTTCTCCAAGAACACATGTACCGCATAAATCGAGGGAAACCTGTACTCTGAAGTCAGTGATGGAATGAATGCCCAGGGAAGTTGGACAAAAGCCTGTGGCAGAACACTATCTGGGATTGATGTCTGATCACTGACCCTGGTGTTTATGGGGATAACTGGCATCTGTGACAGATGAAGATTATGCCTCTTAGCACCTCTGATTGGCATACGTGTGCTGGTAGAAATAGCATGAACTAGTTCTTCAGGTTCTGATGCTGGAGGCTGCACGTAGGAGAGGAACGTGGAGATAGCCCTGGCCAGGCCCAGGTCACTCTCCCTTTCAGCAACCACTCTCTGCCCCTGTGACACAGGATACTGGGCAAGATGGACCTGTGGTCTGATCCAGTAAATGATAGATCCTGTGTTCATTCTTGTCCTGCACTACTTGTAGATTCTCCATCAGTTATTTAATTATCCGCACTGGGGAGTTTCCAGACTTTGTGTGTTAATGTCCTTGCATTGAGACTTGAATTTTTCTTTACTAGTTGTCCAGTAAGGTTCTGAGAGCTATATTTCAGGAGATTCCCATATCCTGAAATAAGAAAATTCAGGTAATCACAGGGACAGACTCTCTCTGGAATTTCTCACCTGGAGTAGCAATAAAGTTTAGAGACTTCTTTCTTTGCGCTATCTTGTATGGGACACTTCCGTGCTCACAAGACTCATATTAATGGTACACAAGAATCTAATGGTAAAATATTGCAGTAATTCATTACATGCTCTTAACCTAGAGGAAGTCGTTTACTATGCTAAGAATGCTATCCTGATAAGTACCTCTCAAATAACAGTACAACGTGGAAATATCAACTGTACAGTGTTAATCCAAATATAAACCTGGCAGTCTTCTGTGGATTGTCATGTTTTGTAGAAGAAAAGTGATGTAGTAGAGGCAAACCTCTCAAAACAGTTCTTTGGGTAAACAATTCACAGCTATTATTCCCAAGTTGTTTGCTAATCTGTATGAATATATTCATAAACTGTACTTGGGTTTTAAAGTTCACTTTCGTAAGTTGTCATAAATTCTGAGTTTAGTTGATCCTGATGACAAAATCTGATTACTTCACTCGAATATCAACTTGCCAGATAGTTTATATAAAGGGAAACCTTTTGTCATGGTATTGGAGCCCAGTCCAAAAGGAAAGGTTGATCTAAAATTTTAGAGCCTTCTCTTCATCACTGACTAAGCTATATTTTGTTAAGAGCAATGTTCTCATTGCTAAGAGAGAGTTTCAAATTGGTCCGGGATTCTTTAGCTCTTGTTCAGGATATTCTCAGCTGGGGTTCTTCATTCAGGAATAGTGACCCCATTATGTGTCCTTCATCGGGTAATTGCTGTTGTAAACAAAATAGGGTTGAAGCATAAATGTTGTCTCATCAGGGTTAATAGCATACAGCTTTTCTTTTGCCACTAGTTGGTGGCACATGTGGAATATGAACCCCATAGTCTGACCAGTGTGATCAAAAAGAACAAAATTGGTCAGCCTATTTTTGGCCAGTGAAATACCAACAAAGCACAGATGGGTAGGGTGTAACCTAAGTCAACTGAATTTTAAGCAAGGTGAGGGACTCTAACTTTAACTTGAATGTTTCCATATTTTCCTTGTCATAGAAAACTGGGATCTAATGCATTATACATTACCTACTTTCATCAATGTTCAACAGCTTGATTTAATATTGGGACTTCAATGTATATTGGATATATGAATGCATTATGTACCCGTTTTCATTGGTTCTCTGAAGTATACCAAATATTAATCTAATAACTTGCTCTTTCTGTGCACTGGAGGCACAAATACAAAAAGGAAAAGTGTCAAAACCTCCATATCTGCAGTCAACACAGTTGAGGATACTGTCAAATCCTGCGTTAAACCCCAGATTGTAGCAGATTTATGCAGACGGCTTCAACATTTTGTCCTCTAGCATGGATGTAGTCTCTTTTTTTACACAAATGACATAATGTTCTTTTCCAGTAACCTCAGTTTATATTCCCCTTGCAGAAATGTCATTTCACATTTGATCATGCCAAATGTGAAGACTCTTCTTTCATCCCCTTCCTTCCACCCCGCAAGAGGGAGAGGGGAGGGGGCATTTAATTTAAGCAATATATAATTTGATTCTGTTCCTGATTTAGCCCTCACAAGTGGGAGGTGTACCAGTAATGACGCAACCAACCTTGATATACAGCCAACCTGTTATGAGACCAGCAAACCCTTTTGGCCCTGTACCAGGAGCACAGGTAAATATGCATCTGACTTCATGCTTATTTTGTCCTCTTTGACACTTCTGTAATGTGATAGCTCACGCAGTGCATCTCTGCTTCATTAATAAGGTGTTGGTTGGTTCCCAGGTTTACTTAAATTTTGTATAGCAACAAATTCCTCTTACTTTGCTTTTATGGAAGGACACTTTCTCAACTGCCAGTCTTAGGAGATTTTGGTGACCAGTGTCTCTTTCCCTCTTGTTTAGTTGAATAGTTGTAGAACTATTTTAGCCATACCAAGGTTGTTTCTGTAATCACTAAAGCCCATTTTTTGCTGTATCCCTTATTTCATTTTCTTTTCCAGTCTTTCCTGAAAATGCTTCATTTTGCCCAATTTATTTCCTGCTGTTCTTTCTGAATAGCATCCCAGTGCTACACTGTTCTGTTATTTCTGCAAGGTGCAACCACTTAATATCCCAAGTCTGATGCAACTTGCATCTCTTAAAGGAGAGTGACCTAATTGCTATCACTTTCCCGATGTCAGATTTGGGAATGCAGTATGGCTTTTGTGAATCAGTGACTTAATTGCGATGTGCAATCATCTTTCTAAACTGTGGTGAGCTGCTCAACTCATTGTAGAGATGGTACTGACCACCCTTTTTTGTAGAGTGATTTGTATTGCCCCTATACTTAAAAATGGATGTGGTAATGGCAGAGGTTGCCCTCAGCCCTGCCTAGCCCATAGCTTGGTTGGTAGGAAATGTTCAGAGAGCACAGAGGCAGGTTTACAACCTGCTCTAAGCAAGAGTTAGACCCCGGTAAGTTGCCCATGTTCGGGGAGTGCCCTCACTGCTAAGATACCAGACAGATGTGTGGTGCTTCTGGAGTGTAGGTTGTAGCAGTGTTGGTCTAAGGAGATGGGCAAACAAGGTTCTTTGGGTAAATCTGATATCTTTCATCAGACCAACTCCAAATAGTTGGAAAAATTCTTCTTTGCAAGCTTTCAGGTATAAGTACCCTTTATCAGGCAGCAAAAGTGTCGAAGGGGAATTGGAAAAATTCTTTACAAGCTTTTGGGTACAATTCCCCTATTTGAGTTGTTCTTTCAGTAAATCTGATATCACTTATTTGACCGTCTTCTACCTGTGTGGTGCTTCTCACGCTGTACTTCATTTTGCACTAAAATCAGTGCTGCTGTCAGATTTGCTGAATCAGAAGTCTGAGTGAACTGAATGCCAACCTGATAAAAGTGCATAAAGTCCCCCCCAGAGTAGCAGAGTTAAGTGCACTCTCAGGATGGAATGGGATTGGTCTCTGGAGATGGGAGGTCTTTTCAGCAGAGTGTCTGCCAAGTCTTGAATGCAATGGCTAGCATAGGATTTGGGCCTTAACGTTGTGTATGGATTCATAAATGCTTCTGAATTAGAAGCAGGGTAGTGTATTATTTCTGATTTGGATAAAAGCCTTGCTTTGAAAACTGAGTGCAGGTGTGGCCTAATGGCTAACTATTAGGAAGCCATTTGCCTTTGCTTTCTCTCTGCAACTTGTGTAGCTTGGTCACTGGCAGCTTCCTCCCTTATAGTAATCTTATTCTTTTAACCAACTTAAGATACGATTGAGAGGCGAGATGCTGTGCAGAGAGGCATATACATGTACTTGATGCCTTTGAGGAGACTTAAGTCATGAAAAGTTAAATCGGGAGCCCCTCGTCTTCCCTGATGGTGTGAGTGGACTTCAGGGAATCCAACCTTGGCAGGCTGGATGGATACTGAAGCCGTCAGCTTCTTGCATCTCGGCTAAGTTGTACATCAGACCAAACTAATTCTTCATGTACTTAACCAGAAATGAGTTGGTCAGTGAATCTATAGTCTTCTGCTGCAGAGATCTGTGACTTTCTACTATTTTAAAGTGAAGATGCTTATGGGTATATTGCTCCATTTGGTTACAAGTGTGTACCTTCCAATGTACATGAAGTGTATACACAGTGCATCTGCTTCTAAACTAAAGCTGTTCTGAAGCCTCATTACTGTTACCATAGGGTGTGTCCCCACAAGTGAGAACATGTTTCCCTGGGGGCAAATAGCAGCATGTTTGTGCCACTGCTAGTTGGCCCTGGGCATGCTGCTGCACACATGCTCTGGTGAATGGAAAACTGCTCCAGGTTGGATAGGGGAAGTAGGGCCAGCATGTGGGCTGGCCCCAGCAGCCTTACCTGGGGGCCTCCTGGGGCTGCAGTAATAGCAACATGGGCATGCAGAGTGAGCAGCCCTAGAGTGGCTCTGGCCAGCCAGGCTCCAGTCTTGGGCAGTACACACTGCAGCCACGTGTGCTGTGCCTGCTGCTTGGCATGTTTTTGGACACAAGGATCTCCCATATCAAAAATCTGTGGTGCTGCAAACTAGCAGCCCGACAAATGCATGCATTTGCAGGGCCGCAGATGGGTTTGTAGCACTGCAAATCACGTGTGTACTTGAGGAGATTTGCCCATGGTGTGTTGCTTGTATTGACTTAAATTCACTCCCTTGCTTTTTGGGCTTAATGGCACTGCTTGAGGCTCTGGTACTTGGCCAGGAAGCTGGGGGAGGATAGGGCCTTGCATCACTTCCTGGTTTGTCTGTGATCTCAGTCTGATCCGAGCAGCTATATTGATCATCTCCAAAAATTCCTGAATCTTGGAGCTGGTCTTTGGAAAAAATGACTTAAGGGATGTCATCTGGTAGAAAATCATGTTTCTGACTAAAGACACTCTTATTGTCTTGAACAGCCCTTCATTTATAACAATATGCGGTTATCCTCCTATCCAGTCAGCCTGTGTCCTATTCTGTGATGCTTTCATAGAGCAGAAGCAGGGGAAGAGAATAAAACTGAAAAATGTGGATTCTGTATTTGGTAAAAGTAGAGAAACTGACAGTTTTGAGGGTGGCTATACTCTTCAATTTGGCCGTCTTCCTTTTTAAAAGCAGTAGGAAACATCCTGATTTAGAGCATTGTTCTGTCACTTGAGGCTTGCTTCAGGAGTGATGAGATGTGTAGTGTTGGGGGTTGTTTTGTTAACTATTAAATGTGCAACTGCCCCGTTCCCTTGAATTTAGTAGGGCTGGATTGAGCTGGGTAGCTGTTCTGATGGGGCGGGGGAGGAGGAAATGCTTGTAAACGAGCTGTGTAGAACTAAATTTGCTATGTTTAATTTTGGTAATGTGTTGACTTCTCTCAGAAACTACTGAGTTCACTTAAACACACCCTTTGGCTCAGCATTCTCCATGTAACTCAAGAGTTTTGCCACTGAGTTGAGCAGTCTGCATTTCTGTATGCAGTTGCAGAGTTTTAAGCAAGTCTGACATCAGTAAGGCATCTTAAGAAGATGACAGGCTTGTTGTGAGACCCTTTTCACAATATTAAATAGAGGCAGTGTTGGCCACAGACTTTTTTTTTTAAATAATTCCTGTATGGGACTATAATGGCCTGTTATACTCATGTTGTATATTTAGTTTCATTCCTTACTTCTGTATTTAGGTTTAGTTTTCATGAGACATTTGATATGTTTATGTTGGTACTTGTCTTACTATCTAAGCTTTACAACAAGACTGCTTCAAAGCCTTATTGCATGTCAGCAGTATATTTTCCTGCAGAATAAATTGTGAGCTGGTTCATACCATGCCAGGCAGTGAGTGCAGTGTAGGCAATGCTTGCTGACTGGGTCACAAGAAGTGTTGGGTAAATGCCTTTAACACTGCCTTCATTCTGTTATAATTCACATTTTGTTAACTCTGTTCTTCCATCCCTCAACCCTTAAAGTGCATCAATGCAAATACCAACCTTGACTTCAGCCTTGTCTGCAGCAGTGGGAAAATGACTTCACCCTAGTCATTATGACTTTATTAATGGAGCATTCAGTCAGTATGTCTAATGATTAGCCTGTGCACAGAAATATTTCTGTTTTGAATTGGTTGGTTGTATTGTTTTTTCACCATTTGATGAAATGGCAACCAAGGATGTTGAGGCTTAAAGTACTTGTAAAGGAGCTTTAGAAAAGGGGTTAAAAATTGACTTTTGCTAAAAGGGTATCCTGGCAGCATTTGTCATTTTTCTCCACTCACCCCTTCACTTGAATCTGAAAACTGTGCTTATTTACATGACTGAGTTCAGGTGTGGACTTAAGGATGGACTGGAGAAGCAATCACAGACTGTTCTGACATGGAACCAAGTAGAACCATAGAAGATTAGGGTTGGAAGGGACCCCAGGAGGTCATCTAGTCCAACCCCCTGCTCCAAGCAGGATCATCCCCAACTGGATCATTCCAGCCAAGCTTTGTTGAGCCAGGCCTTGACCTCCAAGGATGGAGAGTCCACAACCTCTCTGGGTGACCTGTTGCAGTGCTTCACCTCTCCCCTAGTGAGAGTTATTCCTAATATCTAAGCTAAGCTTCCCTTGTTGCAACTTGAGGCTATTGCTCCTTTTCTGTTGTCTGCCACCACTGAACAGTCCAGCCTCCATCCTCTTTGTAACCACCTTCAGGTAGTTTGAAGGCTGCCACTAAATCACCCCCTCAGTCTTCTCTTCTCCAAACTAAATAAGCCCAGCTTCTTCAGTCTCCCCTCCATAAGTCATCTATTCACCTAACCATTTTATTGTCCTTCACTGTGCTTTCCCCAAGTTGTCCACATCCTTTCTGTGTGAGGAGCCCAAAACTGGACACAGTACTCCAGATGTTGCCTTACTAGTGCCAAACAGAGGGGAAGAACCCATTACCTGGATCTCCTGGCAGCATTCCTACCAATCCAGCCCAGGATGCTGTTGGCCTTCTTGGTAATAAGGTTGTCTTCAGCTCACTTGCAAGAATGCTGTGGGAGACTACCAAAAGCCTTGCTGAAGTCGAGGTAAATCATGTCTACTATTTTCCCTGAATCCTCAGAGCCAGTCATCTTGTCGTAAGAGGAAACTGAATTGGTCAGGCATGACTTGCCCTTGATGAATCCATGCCAACTGCTCCGCCAAATGCTTAGAAAGGGATTCCTTGAGAATCTGCATTCCCTGAATCCTCCTTTCTTTCATTTCTTAAAGATGGGTACTATATTTGCTCTTTTCCAGTTGTCGGGGACCACCCCCGATTGCCACAAGTTTTTTCGAAGATAATGGACAGTGGCTCTGCAATCATTGACCCAACTCCCTCAGCACCCTTGAGTGCATCCCATCCTGCTTTTCTAAGTAGTCCCTTACCTGTTCTTTTGCCTTTGGCTGCTCACCTCCTCCCCAAACTGCTGCCCAGTGCAGTAGTCTGGGAGCTGAACTTGCCTGTGAAGACTGAAGCAAAAAAGGCACTGAGCACTTCAGACTCTTCTGCATTCTGTCACTGGTCAGTAAGGGACCCACACTTTCCCTGACCACCTTGTTGCTAATATGCTTGTAGAAACCCTTCTTGTTACCCTTCATGTCCCTTGTAGCTGCAACTCCGATTGTGCTTTGGCCTTCCTGACTTTCCTCCCTGCAAGCCTGAGCATTATTCTTATACTCCTCCCTAGTTGTCTGTCCAAGTTTCTACTTATGACCTTCCTTGTGTGTTAAGCTCAATGAAGAGTTCTCTGCTGTGCCAGGCTGGTGGGTGCCATATTTGCCACTCTTCCTGCACATCAGGATGGCTTGTTCCTGCACTTTCAGTAAGGCTTCTTTAAAATGCAGCCAGCTCTCCTGGACTCTCCACCCCCTCAGACCGACCTCCCAGGGGATCCTGCCCATTGGTTCTCTGAGGGAGTTCGAGTCTGCTCTACTGAAGTCCAGGATCCTTATTCTTCTTCCTTTTGTCAGGGTCCTAAACTTGATCATCTCATGGTCATTGCTGCCCAAGTTGCCATCCACTTCTACATCCCCCACCAATTCTTCCCTGTTTGTAGAAGAGGGCAGGTCAAGAAGAGCATGGCTTCTAGTTGCCCACTCCAGCACTTGCACCTAGAAGTTGTCTCCAACACTCTGCAGAAACTTCCTAGATTGCCTGCACACTGCTGTATTGCCAGCAGATGTCAGGGTGACTTTTTTTAAGTCCTCCATGAGAACCAGGGCCTGTAATCTGGAAACTTCTGCTTGTCATCTAGAGAGAGCCTCATCTACCTCAGTCTCCTGATCAGGTAGTCTATAGCAGATGCCCACAACACCCTTGTTGCTCGCCCCTCTAACTTCTAACCCAGAGACCTTCAGCAGGCTTATTTCTAGTTTCATACTGGACCTTTGAGCAATCGTACAGCTCTCTTACATACAGTGCAATTCCTCCTCTTCCCCCTGCCTATCCATCCTGAACAGTTTGTACCCGCCCATGACAGTGCTCCAGTCCTGCGAGCTATCCCTCCGTTAGTTTAATCGCGTCATAATTCTGTGACCGTGCAAGCACTTCCAAATTCTTCCTGCTTGTTTCCCAGGCTCCATGTTCTTGTGGACGGACACCTGAGAAGTTGCTGATTGCTGTACTTTCTTAGTAAGAATGAGAAGGCCTCCCCTGTTTGCCCCTTTCTTGTGCTTCCTCCAGGTCTCCTGCTTCCCCATTAACCTCGGGGCTTTGTTCTCCGTCCGCTGGCAAACCTCATTTAAAGCCCCCCTCAGTAAGTTAGCGAGCCTGCCTGCAAAGATGCTTTTCCATCTGTCAGGTGGATCCTGCCTCTTCCTAGCAAGTAAAGCCAAGTAATTGAGTAATAAAGTGACCGACTTGGACTGTTTTAACATCTTCTTTGGTTTTGTACTTGCTAAACCTCACTGAGTGAAATGCATGTTAGAAAGGACTTCCGTTCTTGAATATCTGTTATGGGTTGCAAAGTAGTAAAATTTGGCTTTAAAAAAATCCTATCTCAATGTCAGATAATCGATCAGATTCACAAGTGTTACCAGTTTATCCTTTATTGAGCTATTTTTATTACGTAACAGATTATTCTTTCACTTGAACAAGGAGCTGACACTTCAAAACTGTTGAAAAATTAGCTTTTATGCAGTGATTCTAGAAACAGCCAGTTGTAGAAAGAGGCTGTTCTCAAGTTAATCGTCAGTAATTATCAGAGACATTAGTAATTGCAATATTATTTAAACACTTCTGAGTTAACCAACATGGTGTTGGTACTTTGCTGTCATGATGGGGGGAATAGTTTTGTCATGGCTGAAGATAATCAGCGGGCTGATGATGATGAAGTGAGTGTTGCCATGTGTTTGAAAGCACAGGGGCCAGAAAACCAGGAACTGGTAGGATGGTCATTGTTGCTGACCTTGGGTGCCCGAAGGAGGGCTGTAAGGGCATTCATGGATGATGTGGTCAGCAGCAGCAGGTTGCCTCAACTTGAGTTGTGGCTTGTGTAATATTTCATAATGTAAAGCAAGGGGTCAGATGTTCTGGATCTGTTTCAGGGCATGCCTTTGAATTTGACACCCCTGATGTTTTGCTTTCACTGTCAAATTGATTTTGTACGTTGTACAGTTGACTGGTATTGCTTGTGGCCATGAGAGACTGCTGCCAGGAATCTTCCATGCTTCAGAGAAGTCCTGGACATGGTGGCCATTCTTGTTAATGTGCTAATAGTAGGTATGGTTTTAAAAAAAAAAAAAAATTTCAGGAAAAACCAACCTATAGCAAATGGCAGAGGACAGGAATGTCAGAAGATCAGGTCTGCTTTCCTTGTGGACAGGTTACTCCTTGTAAGTGTGCTACCTTTTGGAGTTTCTTGCCTTTTTGCTTAAAGCCCTTGGTCCTGACCACAGTGGAGACAGGACAGTGGACTGCTTGGATTACTAGCTGATCTGCTGACACCTTCCTGTGTTTTTAGATGGCTAAAGCAGTAGACTTGAGGAGACTGTCCCAGAGTTGTAACTCTATCATGCTAGGCGGGAAACCCTTGTCAGCCAGACCTGCCTTCTTAAATGGGTTTCTCCCTATTAAGCTGCTGCTAGGGTATCAAGCACCATTTTATTTTAAATGCTCTAGCTGCTTATTAGAAACAGCTTAGAAACCTGCTCTAAATGTACTGGTGTCATTTGTATTAAGTAGCTGTCCTCTGGACAGAGGAACCTTGTTAGTCTCTTAAACTGTGTTCCACCTAGTCTGGATTGGAAATCAATCGTTAAGGTTTTTCTTTCCTTTTTTGAGTCTTGACTTCTTCTAGTTATCCCCTATTTCAGATGCCTATCGTGAGATTTAAACCTGCCAGTATTATTCCCAGCCTTCGAAATGGGATATTCCTTTGGACTTTGACACCTTTTTCATGTTTTACTGTGAAGGGAGCACCTGAATCATGGAGTTGGGTCACAGCAGGCATGCCTTGCCAAAGTGACTTTCTTTTTATAGGCTGTCAGCAGTGTTTTTCCATTTGTCTGCCTTAAATATCAAGGGGGCCTGTGGAAGTGTTTAGACTTTGCTTTCTTAAAGGGATGAATGTATAGAGGTAACAGTCTTAATGCCTTGACACTGCAGCTCAGTTACTTGCAAGCTTCTCACCTTGCAAACATGCTGCTTCTGCAGTCTCAATTTATGGGCACCATGTTGGGGAAACTAATTTATCACTCGCAACCAGGTTCTAGGGTTTCCTTCCTCTCCCAAGTGAAAGCAGTATGGATGCCTCCTGTGGGGGCCGTGTCTGAGACTTCAGTAGACTGATGGCATGAGCATAATCTAGTGCTGGGCACAAGGTTTGAAAACCTGAAAGTCAAGTCTGTAACACATACCTAAGGAGTACTCTTGGATCCCTGGGAGCACGCTTCTGCCCTCTGCCAGCTGGCAGATCACAGGGTTTGTGCTGGCAGTAATGGCCTGGTGTACTGCAACTCTTGCTGTGGGTAGGAAGTTTTTAAGAATAAAGCATGTGCTGTTGTGGTGGTGACAGGTCAAGGGCTGACTAGTAACCATCTGAACCAAAGCCAGGGAAGAAGCTCTGAAGGCCTGTCATTGTTCATAGCAGAAGTGTGTGAGGGGTGGTATGTACCTCATGCAACACTGGCAAACAGAAGAGAACAGTGTTTTAACAGACATCAGATATAGTTGAAATTAATTGATAAGCATTTTTAATGCCTTGATAAACATGTCTAGAAGTCGAAGAAACACTTTTTTTTGCTTCTGCTGCTATTGGAGTGTGTAGGGCACCGGTGCCTTCCAGGGAAAGCTGTTTGTTCTGGCACTCCTGCTTTAAAACCTCTTGGTGACAAACACGTGCTTCAAGCTTGTCTTGCAAAAGCCTCTAAATTTATTAAGACACTGAAGTCTGTCCAGGCTTAACCAAAGCCAGGCTGCTAGCATTTTGTTTGCAGTTCTAAGTGGTGCACATCCCTTCCTAAAGTAAAGGCAAGTCCCAGGGGCAGCACAGGCTTGTTCTTGAATCCCTGCTGGCACTCGATTGTGACTAGGACCAAGGCATTTAATCTCTGCCTATATCTTGTACAGGGAGAATGTCTGCCTCATTGTGAGGGTTAATGCCTTGCCTTGTATTGCTCCTTTATTCTTGAAAGCTCTCTGCAAATACAGTTATGAACGGACTGACAGAGCAGCCAGGAGTAGCGTAGTTGGGTAGCATCCAGCTTGTTTCTACATTACATAGACCATTGAACAAGCCTTCAGCTTCCCATGCAATTACACACCTTGTTTTAACAATTCATTTCTGCTCCTTAACTGTTCCTCCCTCCATTACATTTTCTGCTTTCATGTTCTGTCATTCTGAGACCTTTTTTTCTTTTTCTTTTCTTCTCTGTTTGTCTTCTCAACTAGCTGTCTGCAGCATCCAGTCCTTCCAGTCAGAGTCCTCACAGAGCCTCAGGAAAGGACCCTTTTGCAGAGCGCTCTCTCCAGGATTTCTTGTAGAACAACTTAGGTATTGTTCACTGTTCTGGGGAGATGGTGTTTTTGGTAAAGTGCAAGACTAAGATCCAGTCCCACTTTCACATGGCAGTAGTTTCAGTCATTCCTCACCGTAGTGAAACAAGCTGTAAAGGGAAAGCTGGGAGCACTGTGGAAGGATCAGCAACTGCTGTGGTCACACTGCTTGTTCAGGGAAGCAGCCTTGGGCAAAGCTGGGAGGAATTGGTAAAGAAACATGTCACTCTGATGCCTGACAAAGCGCTCTGACCTGGCAGAGCTCCTGCTCTTCCTAATGCTTGTAGAGCCAGTCCTTTCATTATAAATGGCAGGCCTAGGTTTTAGTGGCAAGTCTTGAGTAATGTGGTGCTTGCTGTTGAACATGTAACTAATAAAACAATCTCAAATGCTGGTCTTCTAAGCACTGCCACTGAGGTCTAATCGGATACACAAACACTAATTCTGCTTCTGTCCATTGGAAATGCAATCTGGTTTTCTGAACTACTTCATTTCCATAGTGTTGGCAGCCCATGTACATACCAGTGCCTGACTGTCAGGCTGGATTGTTTTCTTGGAGCTGATGGAACTGGACAGTCAGTTGTCTTTTTTTTTTAGTAAAGAAATTTTAAATAGATCTGTGCTTTGCCTTGGCCTTCTAAAATTGTTATGGAAAGAACCATTTCTGGCAGAAAAATCTACGTGCCCACTTAACCAGGGCAAGAGAACAGAAGTGGGCAAGGAGAATTTTGCCACGTGGAGCTACAGAGGACATGCACTTCAGACACGGATTTGACCTGTTTGGGGGCGGTTACTGGAGTTTGAGAGCAACAGCATTTACCTTAAATGGTTAAATGGTAAAACTTCTCGTTAAAGCAGGCATGGGAACCTACGCTGCTCTAGAAGCATTGCTGCCAAGCCTTGACTGTAGCATGTATAAAATGTAGCCCTTGTGCTCATTTGCCACTTGAGTAAAGAGAAGTGGGGCCCTGAGCCATGTCCTTGAATCTCTAGTGGAGGATTTGGTTTTATGACATGCAGAAACTTTTGGTTTGGTGACAGAGAAATAGCTTAATTTTTGCTGGTCACTGAACACATGGGGCAACTTTGGCAATGCTTCAGAAGTTTGTGTAGTTAGCAGTAAGATGTGGATGGCTTTGGGTGCGTTTGACCCTAGTATTGTAAATAAATGGGTTCTGATCACAAACCTCATCGTTCTTATTTATGCTAGCCGTGGGTATGGAGAAGGCTCCCTGTCCAGTAAGTGCTAAGGGATCAAAGCAACCACAATTTCCAAGTTGATGTTGAATAGCGGAAACTTAACTGAGCGTTTCTGTTTTTCCAGATACAGTTCATGTAACTGTGGCAGATGGAAGAGAAAGGAACAGTTCCAAAAAATGTGCTCAACAGCAGACCCAACTTCCAGCAAAATCCAAACTTCAGTCTTTCCAACTCTCCTTTTTTCCATCAAGTGATGCAGTAAAATGATGAAGGTCTATAAAGGAAACTGGGACATCTCTGTAGGAAAGCATCAATACACAGTATAAAGCCAAGAATTGCCATGATTTAAGACTAAGATTTGTTTGTTTTTTTCTCCCCTGGTGACTAATGTGTCAGTACTCTTCAGCTTCTATTAATATCCATAATCAGTACCATACAAGAGAAGCCTTTATTCTGATATTATGGTTTTTATTTGGAAATGCTGTCTGGAATGGAGAATGAGTGTCCTTTACTGTAACTGAAACAGACTTTGGGGGGGATCAAATCCTAACTCAGTTCTACAGTTACCTTCGCTTCAGTCTTCACACATGTAGACCCAGTAACAAATTTAATTCTTTAAAAAAAAAAAATTATATATTCAGTTTGCAGTAGACATTCCTTATGTATTATTGTTTGTATTTATTTATGATTATCAATTTAACATTAATATTGTATCAAAAAACCTCCTTATGAAAATGAGTATGGATGTATACAGTATGTCTGATTTTTATCCACAAAGAATGATTCTGATTCAGAATGCTTTTGAGCTGACATACAGAGCACTAAATATTTTAAAGGTCTGAATCTTATGAATTCTCAGTCTGTATGGGAATTAGGGAAGAGTTATAAAATGCATTAATCCTTATAGTCAATTCTGTGCCTAGGATTTTGCAAGGGAACAGTTAACTGACTAGAAGCACTACATTTTTAATTCAGCATTAGTGCATTGGGAAAGGAACTTTATTGCTTTGTGCTTGGCATGTCATTATTTTTACATCTGACATTATAAAGCCTTTCCAATATGAATGTGAGGAATTGCTTTCACTTCAGGACTTTCCTCCTTTTCTGTAAAAACTTTAGGAGGTATTATGTGGGGAGAAAACCTTGAATTTCATTTGGCTAGTGCCATGTTTATGATCATGAACCTTTAAAAATTATGAAAGGTAGCATCCTTACAACTGTCTAGAAAGAAATTTAGTTCATAAAGAATTAAAGTAGCACTGTTGATCGGTGCTTTGTTGTAAATACGCCATCACTTTGGGTGGAGTTAGGGGCCTTTAGAAGGAGAGTCGACAATATGAAAGCAACTCTGTACATGAATTAAGCATACTTGCTGCATTTGTCTCTGCAGATTCTATTTTTGTTTAAAATATTAAAATGTATGTTAGCAAAAATGGGTGGATTTTCAAATAAAATGCAGCTTCCACAGAAATTTTGTTACGGTATGAAGGTCTGAGGTGCTTCTTTTTTCTTTTGGTGCTTAAAATGTGCAAATTGCTTTGTTTACCTAATAAAATGCTAGATTGGGGTGGGGAAAATTACAGCCCAGGGACCAGATTCAGCCTCCCAGGCAACTTCATCTGGCCCACAGGTGCTCACCAGTTATACCCTGCCCAGCCCACATGCCTTGCTCCCACCCTTGTGGGCAGAAGGGCCCAGCTCAGGCAATGCACAGCTTCTGGGCAGGGCTGCTGCTGCAACTGTTATAGCTGCTGGGGAACTTGCTTGGCTTCCCTGGCCTCCAGTGACACCAGCACTTGCTCCAGGCAGCAGGTGGGGAAATGGGGGAGGGAGGTGCAGCTGGGTGGGGAGTATGGCACTGGGGCCTGCAAGAACACAGCCTACACCCGG